AATTTTATTTTAAATATATTTGCAGTTGCAACAATCTTTTGATACGAACACAGCACCTCAAACTCGCGAATGACCGCTGTAAGCACAAACCAGAAGAGGAGGCAATTTTAAATATATTTGCAGTTGCAACAATCTTTTGATACGAACACAGCACCTCAAACTCGCGAATGACCGCTGTAAGCACAAGCGAAACCAGAAGACAGAGAGGAAGCGCGTGACGATGCTTGTATAACGTGAGGCTGCTCAAGTGCGCATGTTTGTGGTTCATTATATTCACGTAAAACATTTATACAGTTGGCGAAATGCTCAATGTTACAGTGGAAGCAAATGAGAAATACAAATGATCACGTTACTCCCTCAATAAAGCGCTGACCGTGGAAGAGGAAAACTCTCGAATAATGGAAATAATCACAAAGTTGCTCACTTCAGGTTTCATAAGGAGCTAAATGCTGAGGAAACTGACGCGTCGTTCAGAATGTCTAGTGAGGGAGTTAGGTTGACGTTAGGGTTGTCTTGAGTAGGATCGGATGCTGGTGGGATACCAGGATTGTTGGACGTGTGGGCTTCGATGAAGACAAACTTGAACTGATCAACGGAGACTGTATCACGCTTTCTATATCTCTCTAAAACAAACTATTTGGGATGGCGCTCGATGACTTTGGCGGAACCATCATAACGGGGTTGTGGGGATTTCTTAGTTTCGTTATGTCAGACAAATCCAAATGGCATAGAAGAGAGATCGGTTGAAGTGTGATCTATTCTTGTTGATCCTACTGTCTTAGGCATGTAATGTTTCAGACGGGTGAGTCGGGTTCTGCGCCAGAACGGGAAAAAATTAACCAGATGAACGTAAAGCCGAAACATATACTAGTTCGGCTGGCGAATAGTGAAGATCCTCCTTACTAGTGGGACGAATAGCAAGCAGAATGAGGGGTAAAGAATAAAAGATGGGCTCATTTGGGCACGCAGTGCAGCTTTGATCGCTTGTTGGGTATAACAACCAAGTTTTCTACTCAGGAGTCAAGGAAGGTCTAACCCTCATTGAGCTTGTCCAACGAGCTGCTATAAAGAGGTTGCCAGCGTTCAGAATGTCTAGTGAGGGAGTTAGGTTGACGTTAGGGTTGTCTTGAGTAGGATCGGATGCTGGTGGGATACCAGGATTGTTGGACGTGTGGGCTTCGATGAAGACAAACTTGAACTGATCAACGGAGACTGTATCACGCTTTCTATATCTCTCTAAAACAAACTATTTGGGATGGCGCTCGATGACTTTGGCGGAACCATCATAACGGGGTTGTGGGGATTTCTTAGTTTCGTTATGTCAGACAAATCCAAATGGCATAGAAGAGAGATCGGTTGAAGTGTGATCTATTCTTGTTGATCCTACTGTCTTAGGCATGTAATGTTTCAGACGGGTGAGTCGGGTTCTGCGCCAGAACGGGAAAAAATTAACCAGATGAACGTAAAGCCGAAACATATACTAGTTCGGCTGGCGAATAGTGAAGATCCTCCTTACTAGTGGGACGAATAGCAAGCAGAATGAGGGGTAAAGAATAAAAGATGGGCTCATTTGGGCACGCAGTGCAGCTTTGATCGCTTGTTGGGTATAACAACCAAGTTTTCTACTCAGGAGTCAAGGAAGGTCTAACCCTCATTGAGCTTGTCCAACGAGCTGCTATAAAGATGGTTGCCAGCCTCAAATAAGTGGACAGCGGAAACCATCTCACTGTGCTTGACCTCCTTGCCCTGAGCATCCTTGCCTCCCAGGAGACTTAATACCCACTTTTACCCTGTCTGTAAAAGGCAGCTAGCACCGGCGGGGACATGATGTGAGGATTCTGAACCTCAGCGTATCAACCCTTAAAAGGCGACAATTTTTTCATTTCGGGTAACTGGTGTGTAGAATGACCTTCCTCTGCAGGGTGATCACCTTGCATTTGGTAAACAGTTCAAGGCACTTTTGAACGCCGTTTCAGCTCAACCCTTGTGCTAGAATGTGTACTGCTCGCGTAGAGAACTTAAAGAGCAGCGCTACATCACTTTTTCACTTTTAACCTTCAGACGAATGGAAGCTTCTGAAAGAAAAAAAGAAACCCGATCTCGGGCAAAAACCACGATCCTGTCCATCAAACCGGGAATCAATGAACTAAACCAGCTCTTGAACTGGCGCGCCGAGGACGAACTTCGAAGCTATATTGTGGTTGAAAGTAGGCTGCAACCGCGAACAGATGTTTATCGCACGATCTAATGTACGTGTCCTTTTTTCTCTCCCTATTATAGGTACCCCCGGCGAGCCACCCCGAGCTCCAGACAGGAAGCAGCAGTCTGCTTGGACGTCCCGTTGTGTGACCTTGAGCTATTTTTTTAATCGTACTTGACTCGTGCCACTCTCCGGTCTTTTTTCCTGCACCACCTAACCTGTGTGAAGGGTTGGGACTGTTCATCCTGTCCTGTCTAGATGGCTTTGCTGCCCGCTGCGTACTCTTTTCAGTCATTCCAATGTCTGCATCACCGGACCCCCTTTGAACCCACTTGTCCTACCTGCTCTAAACACGACTTCCAAGTAGTGCTCCTCACTCCTCGGCGAATACCATTGTTACCGCAAATTTTCGATTCCTTATTTTGTGGCCTATGAGGAGCTCATGAAAGCCTCCTTAGGATTTTAGTAATAAGCAACTTTGATATGGTTTATATGCACTGCAAAAGCGTTTATAAGTGTCTGTTCCAGTCGCTCTCCCTCTGCCTAAGGTGTAACGTTTCTAGTATAATCCCCGGCGACTTACATGGCCTCTACATGCATATGATGAGAGTGTTGTTGGCACAAATCAGTGATACCTAAACCGCCATTCAGCGACTATGTTTGACCATATAGTCGAGAATGAGGCATTTATCGTACAGGTCCGATTTGTATGGGACGAATCAACGGAAAATTGTTTACGAGGTTGTGGTAATAGCATCAACCTTCCTCGGCCCTCTTCCTAATGCATCGATGTTTCACTCTAATCCTTCAGCCAGCCATTTATCTGCCTCCATACGCATAACTGATTTGATATGCTCAGACTTTGTTGCGGCAACAACAACAAAACCTATCTCGCAATTTAATCATACCCGTCGTTTCACGACATTCAAATCCAGAGAACAACGAACAATAGCTAAGGGAGATGAGAGAAAACACGAGAACCCCGACTTGATTCTTTAATTTGAAGCAAGGACGTGAAGATTCTGGCAACTAAAGAACCCAAGTTCTATTTCACCATAGTGGCGTTGACCAGGGGAATCCAACATTTCACAGTGAAGATAATGATAATCGTCAAACAACAGACAGCAACCGAAAGTGGCGATGTACGCAAATCCCAGTGCACAGGTGAATATGAGCATCACATATACTATGAATCTTGACACGGTTACCAACAAGCCGCAAGTTTTGTAGTGACCTCATCAGTTAGGGACGCAGAAGATTCTGTCTATCAAACGGATTCAGTTTTGATCACTTCCCCGGATTCGACTCAAGTGTAAATCAAGGCTTCTGTTGGCACTGCCAGCACTTCTGGAAATCGACATTATGTGGTTGACCGGGCCGTCCGTAAAGTTCCCAGCTCAGGAGACAACGTGAGTATTATGTCACACCGACTGCCACCCAGCTAAATCGCTCCGGAACGCATCAAAAAAGCGGGAAATAATTGCCATCAATCAGAAACCTCTGTCACATGCGGACCGAGCGCCAGCGGCTTCTGATCGTCTTGGCACACCCACGAGCGGCGATTCATCTCACCCCAAAAAAACTCTCGGAACTTCGAAACCCATTTGCCCTTAAAACTTATGCGGGACCTCTAACAGGCCGTCGAACGAGGGTCATTACACGGTGGCTTCGTCTAACACCAACGAAGCACAAACGGTTGCCCTAGGTATTCAGTATGAGCGGAAATCACGGATCTGGGTATGGGGTAAGCGACCATGTGCTCTAGCACCATCCAAAAGCACTGCCGGGTGCGCCCACAAAATTCCATAACGTGTGGCAAGGACCTTACGACTTAGTCAGTAGGAAATCAAACAATATCTATGTCATTCGTGACTCCCCTCAACCAAATGTGTTTTTTTTACAATCAATTAAAGCCCCCTTCTTCTGCTTGGTCTAGGTCCACCGGTCAACATCCCACTATCCTCCACTTGTTAACCGTACAGTAAAGATCAGCACACCTGATACAAACATGTTTTGAGCACTGAGGACAGTGCTCACGCTCGGGAGGGGACAGTAACGTATTTAAAATCAGACTATTTGCGAAGACGCTCGCTCGACTTAGTATGTGTATTTCTTCCTCCCTATTATAGGTACCTCCGATGAGCCACCACGAGCTCCAGACAGGAAGCTTGTACACCCCTTTGAGTGACCTCGGACTGTTTTTCTGTACCTCACTTTACTTAATCTTGTTGTTTCGGTTTCAATAAGCGCACGTTGTTGCCTCCCTCCCTTCTTCTCTCCTACGCCACCCAACCTATGTAAATATGTGCAGTGTGGTTCCAATAATATCAATTTTTCTGTCTGCTCATTTCAGAACCGGCGTGTGCCTTTATTATATTCTTGTGAACGTCGAGTATCGCTGACTTTCTGACATCCGACGCTACAGAATGGTCCAGGAGGTCAGTATTATTTCAGACCCGGTCATGCTGCATGTGTGGTCCTGTTTGCATAATTATGCATATGAGGATGCACTTTTTGCTGCTGAGCGTTTGTACGCTGAGACGCGCAGCAGCGAAAGTTTGTACCTTTTGGCCACTAGTCTTTACCGTATTGGCCGACCTAAGCAGGTCAGCCGATTACTCACGTCCACAGAATCACTCACTCCAAAAAGCCGGTATGTTGTCTAACGTAAACTTGCTAGTTTTTAGTTACTTACTGGCCAAGTGTTATTTCGATTTTGGACTCCTGAGTGAGGCGGAAGATGCTCTTCTGGGTCACACACTCTCCCCGAAGTCGGTTGATGAAGTTGCTCAGCTATATGATGATCAGGCCGGATTTGCAATTCTTCTCCTTGGAGATATTTGTCGTCGGCAGGGGCGAGCCCATGATGCGTCGAAATGCTACAAGAAATGCCTTGAGTTGAATCCGATGATGTGGAGCGCGTTCAAACGTCTGTGTGATATTGGTGAATCTCCCAATCCCCTGTCTTGTTTTCAGGCTCGCGATGGGCTTGCATTCCCCACTCCAACTTTCCAAGTTGTTCACCAGGCAGTGGATTTGGGTGTCACTCAGTCGGAACATCGCACTTGGGTAGACCAAGCCGCTGCCGAAAAGAGTCGTTTAGAGGGCATACTATACAGGGAAAATGTCAACCCGGAGAAAGGCTATGATGTTCCTATTCCGTCGGGTAACGCGCATCATTCGAAGCCCCCTGATTCTATTGATACCTCTGGACACCGGCGTACCTACGTAACTCACTGTGCGAAAGACTCGAAGGATGACACTTCTATCCAGTGTGTGGACCTTTTCCAGACGCCTCAGGAACGTTTACCTTACCCAACTGTACCCAAAGCTCCGAAACCTGAGCATGCTGCTCGCTGCCTTGTCCAGTCACTTTTTTCGGGACAAGGGTCCAGCCTGGAGATCACCAATCCTGTCTCGCCCAAGTTCGGTCAGTTAGCCCTGCTTTCCCAAAGTCCACTGTTTGCGTGCGTCCCGGTAAGTGGCATTTCTCAAATTGCCAGATCCTTTTTATTTTCCGAAAAGATATTCACATATATGGCCTCTACAATAGCACAGATGTCAGCTAATTCACTGACATTGCATGTTGCCCGGTTGCGAATTCCGGGCTAGAGATAGTTCAGCTATTAAGGTGATTTACCCAAAGGAAGGCTCACGGAATCTAACCTGAGTTTTTTTTGAATGTCACTTTATTGGTTGAAAAAAACCTGATACGATCTCATGCTCATATTGCGTGGTGGCTGTGCATCTGAAGGGTGCCGTAACCGATTTCCACCTGTTAACACGGATGGGTTGAAGCTGCTCACTCTCCTGACATTATTGTCATGCGTATTCTGAATCCAGACCATGCAATCAACTTTGAGTGGGTCCTCCTGATATGATTCTGTTAGCTCCAGACTCCGACAGGGATTGTTCTTTCATTTCTCCGCTACTGCTGTGACAGCGTAAAATTAACCGCAGGACTACGGTGTCTCTTCGTCGAAACAAGTGTGATATTACAGAGCACAGCCTGGAAGCTAGAAAAAATCCGTTGATTACCCCTGTCTAAGCCTGGGAAACGTATTAATGTGTTAGCCCTCGTGCTTACTTCGGGTGATATATTAGCTAGCCACCGTAAGGTTGCTACAGCTAGATGATGTTTAAATTTTTTTTGTTCACGTTTAGGTTTCAGTTCTTTGATAGTATACCAGTCTGCGAGCAACCATGATTCACACACCCAGTATGAATTTAGTGACACATCGGTCGTCGCGGGGTTCCATTAGTCGGGTCGCCGTACTTACTGCACACAACAGGTTGGTGAGGCGTAAGCACCCTACTAACGATGGGCTTGCTTGGGTTTGATATATGCAGCGTATGTGAAACAAGAATTCAGGATTCAAGCGTGAACTTTAACCTAAACGCATCATTACCCTGGTGATCCACATACTGCTGCTATAGTCTTGTCTGAGGTCGTCATCATTCTAAACCATTGGACCTAAGAGTCTGCTGACAATTATCCCTTCGCATTCCGTTTGTCAGCATCTTTGAGTGGATCTCACTGCAGAGAAGTTGTTTACTTATTGTGTCTACTCAGTCTACCCAAACAGACTGTAGCTCTGAGACTTTTACGAGGCATTGAGTGCATTTTTTGACGGGCTAAAAGCCGGGGGTTGAAGACAAGTTGTTAGATTTCGCGCCTAAGAGACGCATTTGGGTGGTCGACTTAAAATGGACTCTGTATGCACGGACAATGTGAACTACTGCTTCGGTCATGTGCTAACATCAAGCTGTTTGTGTGCCGTATTGACCTCCGAAACAAGCGAAAGTAAAGGCGTGTAGGTGTAACACCCTTTCGGTGCACAGCTGCCGCGCCACCAGGAGGTACGAGGGCTGGGATATTGCTGGGTTGCCCAAGCCTAGACAAAGGAAGTCGAGATGTAGAGGTCGGGACCTTCCGGGAAAAAATCGCGCTCGAACCACTGAGTTATCTCACTCCGATGAGATAATCGAAATCACCCGACTAAATGGTGCCTTCCAATAACGTGCTATCCATTGGCGCAGATTGATCACATAAACAGCTACGGATGGCCCGGATCAATAATTGTCTAGCGCGCTTGCGGTGCTTGGGTCAATTCTGACCGAGCACTCGCCCAGAGTCACTTCTCCTTTTCTGTTCGGCGCCGGTCAAGCGGTGGACGAATAGTTTATCAACTGAAAGGCCCGCAGATCCCGAAGCTATACGCGCTTACCAGAACCTTGTTTATGGACAATGTTCTTAATACTGCACCATTTGCACGAAATAACCCCATCTTTGCACAATACCGGGAGTTTCACCCGCGGCAGGATGCGGTCTGTTTCGTTCGAGCATTGGGTATAACCCGGTGGATTATCAGACGTTTAGTTGGAATTAATGTGCGCCTGGTGGACACGGTGGGGTAGGGGAATGACAGGTGAAAAATATCGGAATACCTGAGAATTACTCCACTCATTACATGCAGCCAGCCTCAGAAAACAGCATGTGAGCCAAACTGTTAAGAGCCAAACTCACTCGGTCATTCTTCGTAAAGAAGAACACTTCTATCGCCGGGCGGAATTCCGTGAACAACAATTCAATTTGTTGCTATCCCAGTCGAATTCCCGAGCTGCGCTTCAATGATGAACACTGAACTCCTTAAGAGCTTGAAACCTTATATTTGTATATCTGTCAAGCGCCATGGAGCTACTGGTCTGTATGACCTCCACTGGCATTGTTCAGGGATGGGGCTGAGTTGCTTAGTGAGCTTTAAGATGATTTAGCTGCCTCCATTTGGGAGAGGGAGACTGACCCAGACAACGGAACTGAATCGATATCAGAGCGTATCTTTGAATAAGGAACACACAGTGAATGGCACTATCACACGGGGTCAGATTGATTCCATTTGTTACCTGCCTCCTGGTGTCACTTATCCTTAGTCGCTCTCTGATGGCTTGTGAGGGCAGCAAGCTGGATTTTGATGCAGTAGAGTTTGCGATGACCACATCTTCACACTACCAGATGTCATACTTGTAAGTGACACAATTTTGACATCCCTGGATTTTCAAGGGGCATTCGGCTCTCTTGGCCGGCCGGTTCTCGTTAACACTTGCTCAGCAGGGAATTAAAGTCATTTGGTTGTTACATCCTTACGCGCCTGGCTGTCCATGCTACCCGAAGGTAACACGAGGGTTAAGGTGTTGTCAGGTACCCAGGCAGTCGAGATACTGAGGTGAGACTCGGACAGAGGACCTTCCGATCGGCAATTTCGTACCTTAACTTAGCTACCTGGAATTCAGTAGGAAGTTTTTATAAATGCATCAGGTTTTTGTATCCTCAGGCTTTCGGGCGTGTGAAGTATACGGAGGTCTCCAGAAAGTTATATCCGTAAGGATGCCACCTCTCAATTTCTATCCAATTTTGTGGTCGACGATGAACGCTAGAAGTTCTTCAAAATCCCAGGGTCCAAATACTTTCTGGCCAAAACTCCGTCGATCTGCAATATACGAGTGAAATATTCGAAGAGGAAAATAAGGCGCGGGTGTTCTCGGATAAACTGACCCGAAAGATATAATGTCATGCCCCTGGATATGCAATCACCGAGTTCATCATTTACAATCCAAGGAGAGGCGCTCAAGGTTGTGGAGCGTTTCAATTATTTCGGAGGTTGTATGAGCTCCGATTACAGACCAAGTTAATGCGTTACTCCCTGAGACTCGAATCATTTTCACTAATTTCAGACAACTGTGTTGACAAAGCGGCACATATACGAATCTCAAGCGGGCTACATTATTAGCTTTTGTTGAATGATTATGAGACGGGGTCTCTGGGTGCAGCCTTCGATAGCCGTTGTCTCAGAACCCCAGCTCGTGTTAAGCGGTGCAAACGAATTCGCAATGAGGCCGTTAGGAACTCAATTGCACAAAGGAACTTAAAGCAAAGAATACGTGCACAAAAGACTGATGGCCCAGACACATGTGCTGCGCATGCTGACCCGTCGGCTGCCAAAAAGAGTGCTTGTTTCCTTGCCCAATACAGAATGGCAAAAGCCGGCCTCTGACCCGGCAGAGGGATATGAAATCGATTACGAAAAGTTTGGTATTGATGGTACGGTTCGCCTTCCAGTATGAGGCCCGAATGATTTTCTCTCCTGTGCTTGGTTGGAGACATTGCAACATGTCAGTTGCAGCAGCATGTCAGTGCTTATCGGTTTCTATCCAGGTTTTCCGAGTAAGTATCGGAAGCTGTGGGCGGGACCTAGGTTTTGGTTTTATGGTTGTACGGTAGCAAAGCTTCGACGTTGTGTCGCCAGTGATGATGATAATGATGGTGATAGATTACAGACCCGTGACGTCATCGGTCCGAGCTGGTACAGCTTCCGATCAGTTCACGAGCCCCACTACTTTTCCAATCGAAAGGGCTGCGTGTAAACGCTGTACTCACTGGAGCATGAATTTACACCTTGTGCTTGCGAAGTAAATATTGGAAGATGAAATGACTTCGCGCGAGCCTTTCCTCCCAGAAATGAGAACATAATCGTCCGTATTTTATGGGTCGACAAATTGTCTTCAGTGGCAATTTCGGCATCGGGATGTCGAGAATTTTTTGGTGGATGCGTTTGTACTGTTGAGCTTGCAAATGGTTGATCCATTTGTCGAGAATGGATCCGTCCGCTTCACCGAGGTTAGGCAAACGGTGCACTTCTGACTGACAATACAAAGGTTACAGCGCTGCAATCAGCTTACCTGCCACTGGGTAGTGGTCCGAGGGCTAAACAACCCCCTGTTGAATGCGCGTATTACGAGCACTAGGTGGTATTTACCAACGCTACTGAGGTGACTGGTAGGGACCTTCGTGCTTTGTTACCAAGTCACGAACTGACCATTCTTAAGTCTTCTCCATCCGAGAAACGACCTTAGAGGACTGTGCGAGACACATTATTCTCTGGCATACGAAATACATGGTCTAACCAACATAACCTGCACGGTGTGACCAGCTAATCTATCGAGGTGTAGTTACTCTTCCAGGAAACCAGCTGGTGTGCCTCAGCATTACTAGTCTGATTTGGGCAAGTAACTAGGTAGTCTATGAGACAAAAGTGCTGTTGTAAATTTTCTTGATTTTCGCGACGGGAGCACCCCTTTTTAAAAACATTTTGCCTCATTAAATAGTCGTAGGTGCATGTTTTCTTCCCCGAATCATCTTTGAGCTTCTGTAGCCTCAATCATACGTAGTAGCTTCATTTCAAAACCGTTTACAAGAGCCTGTTGTTTGGAACGCGTTAATTCTGTTCACCTCTGCATGTTTCAGGTTTTCCACAAGCTGCCCACGAATCCTCCGTGTGACTCAGTATTATCCAACTCTACACGATTTGGAACCAACCAGACTGCAACTATCCGGACGGATGTGCAGAACGAAAGCAGTGTAGCGCCTACACACAATACCCGCACTGCTCTCCATGGATCCTCGGCTTCAACCACGAGTCGCAGACGCTCTAAAACAGGAGACCTTGAGACCACAAAGCTCCCGGCATCCTCACATGTTAGCTCTCTTGGCCCAACCAACAAGGCATATCTAGGTATACACTCCAACAGTGAACAGACTACCTCAACACCCACTTCTGCAGCGACGGCTTTACGGCGCCTAATATTTTCACCCTCAACCACGTTTGTTACGAACTCAAGCAGTACTTCCCCAAATCTGCGATGTGAACCTCCAGTTCTACGTAGTACCACCCAAGGTAGTGTACCTTCAGGTTGCTCTGTTTTGACGCCGCGTGCAGGATTACCCGTTATAAACTTAAACAGTCCTATTGGTGGTTTTGGGAGTTCTTCATCCACTCCACGACCTGGACCCGCACAACACACTCCGCGCCGTGCCGCGTCCAACCAGTCATTTCCTGATGAAAGTCAGCCTACCGGACCGCGAACCCGATCGCAAGTCGCCGCTGCTGCCGCCGTTGCTCGAGCGTCAGGCCTCCACAAACGACCTGACAAATTGGTTCGCAACAAAGACGTTCCAAGGAAGCCGGAGGTACGGACCTGTTCCCATACAGCTGTAACCAGCACTCTTATCGACCACCAAGCTGGAGCTTCCAGTGATTTGGTAGAGGGTCTGCAGCTTTCAGGATCACCTGGCGCGGATGAATCGCATCACATGTCTTTTGGTAGCGAATCTCAATCTGGAGGGGTCATTACACTGGATATTCTTGCCCCAACCTCGAGTGACGTACGCGTAACCTCGCTGCAAAAATATTTAAAGCTGTTGGGACACTTGGGTAAAGCTTACCAACTCTTGGTCCGACATGATTGGTCTGGAGCCACGCGGTTGATCTCTAGGCTTCCGATCGCCCAGCTGGCCACTGGGCGCATATTGGCATGGGCAGCTCGTGCTCACATGGATAATACAGATTACACAACAGCTAGGCAGCTGTTTAGTGAAGCTCATCGTCTGGAGCCCTGGCAACTAGTGGGAATGGATTTCTATTCAACCGTTTTGTGGCAGCTGCAAGCTGATCACGAATTGTCCAATCTCGCTCATGAGCTTATGGAGCTTGACCACAATGCTCCTGAACCATGGAGTGCTGCTGGGAACTGCTTTTCTTTACAAGGCGAACATGAAATAGCCATCCGCTTCTTTCAGCGTGCTATTCAAGTAAGTTTTTCGCTACCGTTTTCAGCATTCGTTGGTACAAGGGACTGAATAAGCTTGATGCATCCCCACAGCGAAATTATTCACGTACTCCTCGGTATATTTATCAAAATCCATTTGGAGTTGGACTGTACTTGGGAGTGACCGATCTTCTGTGTGACCCGCCGTTGCCTAGCCATCAAACTGATGATCTTAAGGAACTGATGGAAAACAGAGCAGAGTAGCATTGGGAAATTTCGGTTTCGAAATGTCATTAGAGTAGCCTCCAATCAGTAACCCCAATATAGAGTAACCTTCCCGAATGAAAAAACTGTGACAAATTTAAACTTTTCCTATATAAGGTACTCCTAATAAGTAAAATCTATACCAACTCAACAAAGTGACCCAGGACAGTTTCAGTCGGATCGCAAACTTAACTTAGTGAAATACCAAATGCCGAGCATAACTAGAGGGAAAAAACAGATGGAAGACTTGGGATTGGGAACATAGTGAACGAAGTTAACGAAACAGGTTCCTTACGGTTGCTTTATTATCTATTGGAGATTCAGCCAATGTTAAATGGACACCAGATTTACGTTCACTTACTCCATAGAAATATTCTAGTTTTGAACTCCTTCAGCTTCCGATATAGTGGCAAATATGGCGTTCGACCTAAACGATGCTTCTGTTTCCAAATGGCCCTGTCGCTTCCTACTTGGGCACCATTTCGCTGCGTACACGACCTCTTCCTTTAAAAATCACCCGGATATCCATTTTGTGATTGTTTCTGTTTCTGACATTTGTACCATTTGTACCATATTGCATCACACTTTTCTTTGTTCACATACATTATGCAAGTTGAGTGCATTTAACGCAGGAACCCGAGTACTAGTTGATCTGTAATCGGCCTTGGCACGTACTCTAGAAACTTTGGCTGTCAATATTATTTCCAAGACACCCTAAGAACTCTACCGGCGTCATCCGGTTGATTTTTTTCGTCTGACTCACGGAAGAATTCCCACCTGCGCTTCTGAAGATCTCGAAGCTTTTGCTTGAAGTCATGCAGGTGTTAGCATAGCTTTAAATGACAAGGTTAAGGCCACAGTTCGAATTGATTCCCATTGTGTCTTATGACTTGAGGTTACGTGTCAGTCAAATTCTGTTTGATCACCTTCTACGTATGTACGGTGATTCGGGTTGCCGTAGCTGATAGCACCGGATCATTTGGGCTATAGGGTGTACAGTAAATAAAAAAGACAGAAACAACGGGTTAGTGATGGTTAAAGAACAAGAGGGCAGGTGCAACAGATCTGCTGGTTGTGCGACATCGCTGTGTCATTAAGTATCTCCAGCCACTAATGTGGTGAGTAGGATATCCCAACCCCGTAGACGACATAAAAAATCGTCGAGCTGTAGCACGCTTTCACGGCCTAGCTGCCATGCCACACGAAGGAGGCACGAGGCTGGGATACTAAAAAATCGTCGAGCTGTAGCACGCTTTCACGGCCTAGCTGCCATGCCACACGAAGGAGGCACGAGGGCTGGGATACTGCCAGGTCGCCCAAGCCTAGACAGGGGAAGTCGAGTGGCAGAGGTCGGGCTCGAACCACGGACCTTCCGGTCAGTAAATTCGCGCTCTAACCACTTGGTCCATCTCGCCCATGTCGTCCGTAGACGACATGCACTCATGTTTTTAGTCCTGCCTTTAGATCACACTTTGTGGTGTCTGTGGTATCTTCCCGTCGCAACCAGCCTCAGCAACCAAGGCTAGGCGTGACACTCGGTCACCTGGCATACGGACCACATGGCTGATCCATCATAGTTGATTTAGTCGAATCAACTTCTCAAGTGGAAAAACAGACTATTTGTTGCCCAGAATTGCTCGGCACACTCTACTCCCCTTAATCCCATGTCCCCAGGATACATGTGCAATGCTACGAGGGCACCAGTGTTCGAAAACGAGCAATCTTTTTTCTTCAGCACACAATGGCAAGACTTTTCTAGCATAAAAAAACACTGAACGCAGTCCTGATGGAGTATGAAAATCGGCACATCTTTGAAGTAGAGACAGTCAGGGAGCGCGATCTATTGAGTAGAACACTGGTCTTAGGTCTAATAAAAAGCTTTTGACCTTCATCCTGTCTGTGTCCGAGAAGGTGTAGGATGAAGATGTGGTCAATTCATGCACGACCAAGATACAACCCCGGTTGACTTTCATGACTCTGCCTGTCACGAGTTGGTAAACTTGTGTGGGATATCTATGAACAACCTAAAAGCAGTATAACTGGTGCCCACCGGTTTCGCATCAGATATAACACCTTTTTGAAAACAAAAACGACAGAAGATATCTGCCATAGTTTAGGCACTTCAACAAATGCTTCAAATAGTTAACGTGCTCTGCATGAGTCAGGCTGTGAGCGAGTCCTCCGTCCTTAAACAGGATAGAAGGAAGACAACAATGACCAGGTGCTTAGTTTCTCTTCAAAAATTTGATTTCGTCTGAATTCACCTGTTGGAGTCGAATGGTCTACACCCTATGTGAATCGGGTGTTGCGTTGGTTGTTGCTCTTCACACCTGAGTTCAGCTAAGCTGTTTTTCGAATTGTTCCACTTGTCGAAGCAGACGGCGGGACTTGGAATGGAGTTTTGGATCGCCTTCTTCCGTGATGATTTCACTGACCGATAGCTTCCTTGGCTCGATGTTGCAAGTAAGGTGAAATGGAGTCCGACTATTTCCACTCGGCGCCGCCCTCCCCACTTCTTGAGCTTTTCCTCATCATCACCAGAGGCAGCAACATCAGTGTTGATGCTGATGCTTCGCTGCCTTAGCCACCACATCGAGGTCACTTTTGAGACTGCTGACCATGAGTCGTTTTGGATACATCGTTGCATCGTATTGTCGTTCCGGTGGGACCGCCTGCCACGAAATTGAAGGAGGCCATGGCTTTGTTTTGGCAGGCACACAACCAAATGCGTTTCCGATTTCGGACCAGTTTTCATTTGACCGCCCGGTTCGTTTCGCGATTTGCAAGTTTCCTAGACAGCCGTTATTGATAGACTTTTTTGACGACTGAATCTTGCAGGCAGTGAATATCATGGTAGTGAACGGTCTTCTCCCTGGTCGCTGGGAAAACGGAGTGTTGCGTGTTGCAACTCATATGTTGGTCCTTGGCTTACCATCCCGCCCATTATAGTATAGCGAGATGGCCCAAGTGTTTAGAGCGCGAATTTACTGATCGGAAGGTCCGTGGTTCGAATCTGACCTCCGCCACTCGACTTCCCCTGTCTAGGCTTGGGCAACCTGGCAGTATCCCAGCCCTCGTGCTTCCTTCGGATGGCATGGCAGCTAGGCACCGGAAGGGTGCTACAGCTGAACGCTGTTTTATAGTATAGCAAAAGGTACTTGAGTTTTAGGTAGTATTTTATGGAGACAGAAAAGTTGTTACAACTAGTACAGAGTTTTCCACATGTTCGAGTCAGAATTTTCATGAAGCAGTTAAGAGAACCGGGCTTAAAACGCTTGGTTCTAATTGGCTTTTATTCTGACAATAAGGGCGCGCCTTCTGGTCCGCAGCTGACTCACGACATATTCGTCCAGCCGGCATCATATTCGCTTGTTTGGAACGGTTCGCTGGAGGACTCGAGGGATGGATTGGTTCCGCATGCGTGCCCCCAAAAAGAGCTGCAGTCTTGAACACAAGACCGCCATCTATGTATACTCCACTATGGCCCACCTAGGTGTTCAGTTGGCTAGGGTCTGGAGCGCACCGGTTAACATGATGCTCAAGTTTGCGTTTGCCTTTGCAACCCTAAAAGCCGGTGCTTCGCGGTTCAGACTTTTGAGTCAGGGGTTAGAGACAGGGTCCCCGAACAAGACCCTACATCCTCCCACTATATCGTAAGTCAGGTTAAGTCAAAAACTCAACCAAACCATCTTTTCGACTTTGGCCCTTGCATCTCTGCGCACCGGCCCTCCTTCACCCATCAAATGATGCAGTGCGATCAATCCATCTGTCAGTCCCTTAGTCATTGTTCCGTGTTTGAACAATCGCCTAGAAAAATAAGCCGAAATAATCTTGTCTGTGTTGCAGTCTCCGGTGTCCATGCCACCAGAAGGAAGTACGAGGGTTGGGACACTGCTAGTTTGCTCAAACCTAGACAGGGGAAGTCGAGAGGCAGAGGTCGGGTTCGAACTGGGAACCTTCAGGTCAGTAAATTCGCGCTCTATCCACTTAGCTATCTCGCATTCGTCAATCAACTGAAGCGTTTAAGCATAAGGAGTGTGTCAATATGAGTGACTGATCAAATTGGATTACCGTTTGATCTGTCGCCACACACTTGTAAGTGCATTCATGTCAACAAAGTGTGATCAGTTAAGCGACTTCCGCTTTTAAGAGGTCTTCTTTCCTAGAATCGTCCACTCGGAGATCGGTAACATTGGAGATGTTCGCTTTTATTCTATTAACTTAGCAGTGCTTCGCGAATTCGTGCCTTGCCAGTCGCTGGTGACGATTTCAACAACTGATGGATTTGTTCGGCAAATAGTGGTTGGAGCAATATTCATCGCGTTTAACATTCTTGCTAACTGACAGTGGGTCGCAGGTCCCTTCTGAAGAGACTGGCCGAAGGTGGTTCTCTTGAGTGTGATAACGGATACGTTCGTCAGTGATCGTTCAGCGTTCAAAGAGCAGTTTGTGGAAACATACGGAAATGGTGCTCGCTTGAGCAATATGTCGCTAACCTTGTTATTTCACTGTTACTCTTCATCTTACTCTATCAACCCTTTGACAAGAGCTTGGTGTCTGGCTCATTTAGTGTTTTAGCAGCTTCACATGCACTACGCTATCGTTTCGTTTACACCTGGGCATTTAGCTAGAATAATTTGGTACATGGCATGTGAACCTTGATATGTATTTTATTATTTTTGTGTTCATTGTTTCCATATTCGCTATGTCAAGACACGCCGAGCTTATTCTATCCAGTCGGGTTGGGTGCACCATTTAGCAGAATTGTATGTCAGTACATTTGCGTTTGCGGTGTGGCACGTCGGTAGAATTGAAACACGGGCAAAAGTGTCGGTTTTTCAGCTTTACCCACAGGGTAAAATCTCAGTCAAAAGGGTCTTACTCTGGAGTCTTCCTACAGTGAAATCGATTCCAGGGTGACATGTTCAATCAAGGAACATATGATCGCGACAAGGCTGAGCTGTAGTCATTTGAAGTCGTCACATGATGTAGCCAATCAAAGTGACTGGAATTCCTCTAAACATTATCGACCAGCGTTGGCCTTTGTTGTGTGCGCGAAAAATTTGATACCGTCTAGACGTTGTCCTGGTTTTATTGACTGAATCACTGGAAAAAGACGTTCCCAAACCCTACTGTTGGAACGAATACCGTTGAGTTAATGGGTTGGCCTCGAGGTTCACGTGCCTAATAATGGCACAATAATTTTTCTTCAGGATCTCTAGCAACTGCACAGTGATATATATGCTCGGCTCTAGTGAGGCTAATCCGTCCGGAATTATTCGTTGTCACTGGTCCCGCTCGAGAGTTTTCGGGTGACTCAAGACTTCCGCCATTGGTACAGACTCTTTGAAGCAAGCTGCTTCAGAGTTTAAGGTGAGAGGTGATGCTCTCTGACGTTCGTGTTTGGAGTTTACTTCTGACTTCCCGCTTACTTTTATTTGAGAGTATTTCAGTGCTCATGCTTTTTGTAAACAGTTATCCTTATTATAGTGTCACAAGAGCGTTCTAAATTTCAGTAGGATACTACTATGATGGATCGCCTGAATATCCAGAAAGTACTGCTTTCCTGGTTAGGTATCTACACAAACTCCTCTTTTTCCGGTTGTTTCAGGTTTGCCCAACCAATGCTTACACCTATACCTTACTTGGACACGAACAATCCACACTCGAAGAATTTGATCGGGCCCTAACCGCGTTCAGACACGCTCTACGCTTGGACCCGAGACAATATAATGCCATGTTCGGTATTGGGAACGTTTATTACAAACAAGAGAAGTTCGAACTGGCTGAAACTCACTTGGCTCGGGCTGTTGCATTGTTCCCCCATTCGCATTTGTTACTCACCAACTTGGGTGTGCTACGAGGTCGGCTGGGTCATCTGGATGATGGTCCGGAAAGTGCCCTGGCCTTGGTGACCAAAGCCTGTCAAATACAACCCAATAACCCGCTTGCCCGTTATCACCGATCTTCTCTTCTCTTCCATCTTGGAAGGTATCCTGTGAGTTTGCCTACCACGTTCTGATTGAGTGTTTGTGTTTTCATGAGAAATCGCCCAAGTTAAACGTTCTGAATCACGCTGTGTACCGCACTATGTGGTAGCATGGTCAACACGTCACGTGAATTACTCCCCTTCTGGCGGAAACTACGGGTGAAGGTAGCGGCAATGACAGATAGTTACGGATGTAGCACTTGGATGGGTTCTTGAAACAAGCGTTAAGATTTGCGTGCAAGGCTGACATTCCTCCTCCAGTATTCATTTTGGGTTAGGGAATCCATGTTTCATCACGACCCTATGTTTCAACTTCCGCAAACTTGGTAGTTCTGAAAATGTCTATGTGTACTTGGCTTCTATCAATAATTGAAATGACGGGCTTCCTCTATCAAAAGATAGAGGATTTCGGTTTCGAAAGCTGCGGTAGGATAGCCAATTTAGTGAATGTCGTTGGCGCCAAAATTTCATGCAAACCTTTCGATATCTTCACCACTTTCAGTCCACCGTTTTTCTTAGTCGAATGTGCGATTCTGTTAGTGCTCTGGCTGACCATCTGAAGGTAACAGGCATAAAAAATGTCTGTTTGCCCGGAATGATGATGGATACAATAGTCGGGTGCGAAAAGTGGAATAAGGACAACTGTTGAGAGTTGCCTGAGCGAAGTTCCGGACGCAGGACATGTCTTCTCCGCATTATAGTTGCCACACGTGTTCCTTCGTTATCTGTGGAGACTTGTGGAACTCGGTTGACTTCCTGTACGTGTGTGTTAGGCCGAGTTTTATGCCTATTTATTGCGTGCAGTGTGAAGAGAGGGATGTCCCTCCGTGTTTGATACTTGCACGAACATGAATAAAAACTTGACCCGATGTGGTTGAAGTTCGCAAGTCTGGCGCGTGACGCAAGTGGTAGCCACGTTAACAAAAATGGATGGGAAGTTGTAGTGTCCATGTTGTCGGCCGAGGTTGCAAGTGGGACAGGAATAGTCACGTGATTCCAGCGTTTGTGACTCGTAATTTAGTGAGTTACCGCTACAATCCCATACCGTTGGATTCTATTTGAACGATCTCGTGTCGACACTTTTCTAATCCTCAGTTTGATAGCTTATTGATATTCTATTATATGAACTTAATGCTCTATACATGCGAGTAGTTGCGCTCTTGGTAGATTTATCCATTTATTTGTATAAAAACGCCCATTGTTTGGATTTAGTGTTGTTTGCCTCTCGCTGTCAGGTGTAACCTTTAGTGGGTTGCACGCGAAGAAACTCGTTTTTCAAGACAACCCTTGGTCATGGAACTGGTTCGTCCGGTTTTGAAGGGCACTACCGTCCTAGAGCATCTGTACAATCCACGTCCTGAATACAAAGCTGGTAGATTTTAATACTTGTGGTAGATTCGCACCCAAGCCAGTTTAAATGTAAGTTCGAACGAGTGGCTAACTGACCCGTTGGGTCTACGAATACATTTTGTCGGAAAGATCAGGTCCCCGCTGAGAATCGCCAACTCCATTAAAGTTGCTTTAAAAAGACCGTTGTCACCTGCGCGCGCATGCAGTCGGTCAGCGATGATGATCGGGTGTTGGGGCATGTCCTTGGCTCAAAACCCAACCAATCATCCATAGCCGATCGGGCAGTCTGGATTCAGGGTCAGATGTGCAGTTTAATTGCTGCGACGTTGGACTTACTTGTTAGTAATAAAACTGGTGTTCCCAGATAGTGAGTCCTTTTCCGAGGTTCTGCAGCCAGGATTGAAGTTAGTTACAGCATCTCTCCAGTGAAACGCTATCATTTTTGCTATTGTTGTTTAATCATTCTTTTATACTGGTTTTTATTATATTCGCTAGGAGGTGCTGACGGAATTGCAAAAGCTCCTGGTTCTCTGTCCTCGTGAAGCCATGGTTTACTTGATGATTGGGCACACCTACAAAAAACTGGGCAACACTCCCCAGGCAATGATACACTACTCGTGGGCTATGGGGCTGGATCCGAAGGGAGCGAATACTCATCTCAGGGACATTATGACGAACCCACCAGTAACGGGACGGACTTTCTCCCGACGTGGAGTTAATTCTAACGATACTCTTGGAGTAGAAAACGGGGGTGCTGCCGGTCCAAGTAGAACCACGCGCTCCAGACTCGCTCCATTGCCTGATAGTGCGCAACCTGGGGGAGATCTACCTGAAGATAGCACTGACCGGGGTTTCCCAGAAACCGATCATTCTGTCGAGGACGAACCAATGAATGGATTATTCAACTTCGGTTCCGGCTCATCCAGAGGCAGAAGTGGTCGTCGTTTAACAGATTTCTCTCTGCTCTATGACGCCGAAGAGTACGGTGAGGATGCGAAAGAGCGTGAGGATCACTATGAAACAATGGATTTGAGTGGTGGGGTCGAAGAAGATAGCGGCACCAGTCTTGTTGATGACTAATCCAGGAACCACATATCATTCGAAATATTCAGTATCCTTCAGCGCATCCGGGAAGTTCAGAATCCATCCCCTCCCAAAACGCGGGTATTCTTTGTTCACCACTACTGTACATTACTTCGAACTCTCGCTTGCAAATGAACCGATTAACTTTGGATTCAACTGTCCATTTTAGCGTTGATCTTATGTGTTAAGGACTATTCCAATTCTATCATGATTCTTCTGTTTGCTTTACGCGCTCCAATGGATTCCGTCTAACCGGTCGGAAGCACACCCCGATCTGTATAGAACTTCCTTGTAAACTGCTCTCTTTTGGCTTCTGGCTCCAGGAGACAAATGTATCCCTGGGAAGTAAGGTTGAATGCACCATCGCGGGCGAGCCACATCATAGTAACTCTATGAGTGCCTCCTGATTACCATGTGAAGCTACCACCGGTCATACTGATTGTTGTCAGTATGTTTTCCATGCTTCATTATCGATTACAGATGATCAAGACCCATGACCCGAGACTCCAATGAAGAGGGATATGAACTCTAGGATGGAGGAAGGTCTGAAGCAACGTTTGTATATGCCATCGCTCGTTAAGATTTTAGAACAGCAGTCTCCAAAGACACGAGTTTGAGGATGGTCTGGTTCTATTATAGGGGGGGGGGGGGGAAAATTGTCTTGGGAGATTGGGAAGCACTAGGTCACTTAAGCGACAGTATTGGGCTGAAACTGGCCGTCGCGTTCCGGTGGAACATGCAGCTCACAATAATCGGTCGTAAGTAGCCTAACAGACTAACTTTGTCAGTTGAAGGTATCAGAAATGAGAATCTACATATACAGTGATTTCCTCCAACAGAAACTCCCCCGCCAAGTAGAAACCAAGCAGTCTCCGTCAGATCTCCATAGTACTCCCTAACTCGAGACTGGTCCCCTGTTGTGGTCTCTGAAGACGTCGGACAGGCATGAACACGTCTGGGGGGGGGGGGTGAAAATTGTCTTGGGAGATTGGGAAGCACTAGGTCACTTAAGCGACAGTATTGGGCTGAAACTGGCCGTCGCGTTCCGGTGGAACATGCAGCTCACAATAATCGGTCGTAAGTAGCCTAACAGACTAACTTTGTCAGTTGAAGGTATCAGAAATGAGAATCTACATATACAGTGATTTCCTCCAACAGAAACTCCCCCGCCAAGTAGAAACCAAGCAGTCTCCGTCAGATCTCCATAGTACTCCCTAACTCGAGACTGGTCCCCTGTTGTGGTCTCTGAAGACGTCGGACAGGCATGAACACGTCTGCTCGTTTAGACCTCGCAATTCTGCTGCGCCCGGCGTGCGTAGATGGAGTATTGATAACAAGGCTTTGTCCTGGGTTAAGATCCCTTTGTGGCACTGTTGGTAAGGGCGGAACTCGATTAGGTGTGGACTAATGTGAATGATTGTGCCAGGAGAGAAAGAGGGTTGTCCACACCGCGGCGGTGTGAATTTTTGATAAATGTGGAGCCCGACCTGGGCGTAATACACTACCTGTAAGGTTGATGAAAACTATTCGGCAACTCACGACCGGTCTTACCCTTCCTGGGGCTCACTAGTAGGTGCAATAGACGTCGGACAGACATGAACACGTCTGCTCGTTTAGATCTCGCAATTCTGCTGCGCCCGGCGTGCGTAGGTGGAGTATTGATAACAAGGCTTTGTCCTGGGTTAAGATCCCTTTGTGGCACTGTTGGTAAGGGCGGAACTCGATTAGGTGTGGACTAATGTGAATGATTGTGCCAGGAGAGAAAGAGGGTTGTCCACACCGCGGCGGTGTGAATTTTTGATAAATGTGGAGCCCGACCTGGGCGTAATACACTACCTGTAAGGTTGATGAAAACTATTCGGCAACTCACGACCGGTCTTACCCTTCCTGGGGCTCACTAGGTAGGTGCAATCCCCCGGTAAGAACGTAAACAAAGGATTCAGCTGGGTTCCGGGTAAGTCCTCCGTCATATCCAAATTGATATAAGCGGATTTCTTTTTCCACAAGCTACTGGTTTATCTGGTGGCGGCTGCCTATCCCAGCGCATTTATTTACCAGTTGCGGGTTTTGCCGAATAATGAATGGAACACAGGATTTCGGGGCTAGGTGGATTTTGGAGGCCACTGTCCGACCGAATTCTACGTGGGATGGTATCCCCAGAGCGATAGGTAAAGTTTACATTACAAAATACAATGTACAGGAAATCAGATCAGGCCTCTTTGCGATGATTTCGAAGATACCTACTCAATATTCCGTAGATTTTTGCTGATACTTATCACCCATATCGGAACACGACATCATTAGACGTCAGACGAATTTGGGCATCAGCTGTCCCGCCCACCATGTAACCAAGACGTTCGCTTTGAAGCAGCAGTCGTGAAATCTGGTGCGATTGCGGGTGAACTAGTACAAGTTGCAATGTGTTGAAGGCAGTCTGCGCCGGAGGACACCGAATAGTCTGACAAAATACCTCCGTAAGGCTTTTTCGCCATGAGTCTGTTCTCAAAGGCTGGCGAACGGTACGCAGGAATACTTGGGGCTTTCCAACTACCTAGGAGCGAACGCCAGATAACATTTTGATTAGCTACGGACACCCTATGCAAAACACCGATGCACTCAACAGCTCTGAAAACGTCCAGTTGTAGTACCCTCCTCCTGGTGCCTAGCTGCCATGCCACCCGAAGGAAGCACAAGGGCCGGGATACTGCCAGGTTGCCCGAGCCTAGACACGGGAAGTCGAGAGACAGAGGTCGGGTTCGAAGCACGGACCTTCCGGTCAGTAAATTCGCGCTCTAACCACTTGGGCCATCTCATCCATCTGTGAGCTGACGTCGCTGACCTTAAACCATGAGACCACAGGTTTGATATCACTCCCATTTAGTTGACTGATGTTGTACTCACACCTATTATACTGGCCCGGGTGGACCTGCTTGACCTTAGGACGGTTTAACCGATCGACTCTGACGACGCCCCAGCCACCTGGTAAACTGAATAAGATGAACAGAGTGGGCAAAACGCAGGATCAACGAACATGCTATAATGTTAGACAGGAGGATTTAGACTAAATTACTTCAGTGATTGCAAAGACGTTTTCGAAAACTGTCAAGAAATAGTTTTGGTTTTCCAGGATTACTTTTGTACCCCGGAGCTTCCAAATATCTCCGGATTGCCGGCCTTTTAACCTATAATAAACTAATCACGGTTAGAGCTGCATTTTCCCCCGTCTAACCAGCAACCAGTCCAGTTTAGTTAACCTAACTACAGCTTATTCGTCGCTATTTGAAAACCCGTGTTAGTTGACAGTTGAGCAGAATCGACTCTTGTTGGCCTCGGTCCGCTCCAGCTCAACCAGGTGTCCGTTGGAGTGCACGTTTACCGTCTTCGCTATTCTGCGCTCGGGGCAACCCAGTCAGCGAATTAACGTCACCGAACGATTTGACTGGGCAACTTGCCGATGTGATAGAGAGACCGAGTAAACCGGGTCGCTGTCAAAGCCTACCAAACACACCAGGGGACCCGAATGCTTTTTCGGTGTGGTATACAGTGAGTGAGCGTGACGTTGTTACGGACCGTATATGGCGGATTCATCCATCTGAAGGCAGATCGCTAAGCAAATTTAAGCTACTGCTAGACGCAATCCTGCACCATATCCGTTATCTATGCCTGAAGCCGTAGCAAGCTTTCGGTGCCTAGCTACCACCCGAAAGAAGCCCAAGCCTAGACAGGAGAAGTCGAGACGCAGAGGCCGCGTTCGAAACATGGACCCTGCGGTCAGTAAATTTGCGTTCTAACCACTGGGCCACCAAGCTGGTCAAGAAAGATGACCATTTCACGAGGTTCACCGGTGATGTCAATCAGGAATGCGAGCGTTTCATGACGGAGAACCATTTCACGTACCTCATTTCCGTATCCGGTCTCCAGTCCTCCCGAGATGCATATATCAGAATCCGGTTGTTTCACAGAATTGAACAGGATGTTGGTATGAAGTTGTAAAGCCTCACCAGCGAACGCCATATCAACGTCAAGCACGATACGTCTATGATCGGTCAGTCACCTTCCACTTCCAGCGCGTTTATTCACGCAACCAACCCCAACGTACCAAGGAAGCCTGGTGAAAAACACTGCAAACCTCCCACAAGTTGCCGGCATTGTGGTGATTGACATTTTGCTCGTTGTTACCGTTTCATGCGTCATGAATGATCCAGGTGCAGTCATCGTGGCCACAAAACAGCTACACGTCGACAGGATTATGCCACCGTACAGTTCACAAGCCTCGATCCAACTGAGTGAGGGCGATATTCAAAGTTGATCTCACTTGTCGAAGGAAGTTTGTTTCGGTGCGTATCAACAGCACCCTAGTGTGTTTCCAGCTTGATACGGGACGTACGGTCTTCAAACATGCCTATAGGAATTCGACCCGAAGTCGTAGAACACTATACGGATCTCCGTGACGGACAAAGTAAATGCATGAGTCTCACAGACCAAGATTGTGCTGTTTTTTGTTTAGCAAACACCAACTAAACAGCTACAAACTATTGGACAGGAAAGTAAGCATCTCATATGCAGTTTTCAAAAAGTGAACATCCTCACGCATCTTGAATTTTCATGGATATTTATTGACTGTCACGCAATCGTAAACGAACACTGCAAAGCAGTTTTACAGGTTCCGTAGTAAACTCCACCTTCCATTGGAAACAAGGCGGAGTTACAAGAAAACCACATGCTACTCACGTGCCTCATCAGTAGCATCAGCCGTTACATTTGTAGCACCGGAAAGGCATATCAGTGAGTCTTAAAGGACGTGTGTATCATGCTACATTGCAGGCTGTGTTGTTGTACGGCTGAGATACTTGGCAAATTCGGGTGAAGGGTCTGAGACAAATTCAAGTCTCTGACCACCGACATCTCCGAACTATAGCTGGAATCGGCTGGAACTAGCGAATTCGCCATGTGATCAATAAATGGGTTTTCGGTAAACCAGAAGTCGCTTTCCCCAAAGACTGCACTACCAGCTAAGTTGGCTGGGCTATGTTTTACGTATGTTCCGTCACCGCCAGCGTTGTTTACCGTGTTTGATTTGGAGTGGTGGGTTCATACAGGACGGAGTCCATGTGACCCTCCCTGTGCTTTGCTGGAGACACTGAACGATAAGACGACTAACCGATGTCAGTGGCCTTCATGTTGTCATTTGTGTCCGGATTGGGGGGGGGGGAAGGCACCGTCGCCCTGGGAGTGTATGTCACGAATTCCTCTGGTTCGTTAAATGACCGAATATCGGGGGGGGGGGGGGGGGGTGAAGGCACCGTCGCCCTGGGAGTGTATGTCACGAATTCCTCTGGTTCGTTAAATGACCGAATATCATAGTCCGTGCATATCCTACTACTCCCTTGGTATACTACGTGCAACTTTACCTCTAAGTTAGAGGCGGTTGTTAACAATTCAGCGTAGCATTCTATAGCGTTGTGCCAAACGAAATCAAGGTGTGCTTTTGTGCACTGGGTGGATTTTTAGCTTGTCTTACGCCTCCCTCAAAGCCAGAGACCTCCAATGTCATGGCTTGAATGAAGTGAAATACAAAGTCATCCGTAGGAACAAACAAAATTGGCGCGAAGTATGCAAAAAAATGTCCAGTATCATCAGGATACATCGCCGTTCTTAGTATCCACCGGAAGAGTTTCATAATCTGTTGTATTCATGTCAGTCAAACCAAGATCCTCATTCTCCGCTGGGCTGCGTTCATAGTCTTCCACCGTCAACTCAGGGTCAGGATCTGGGGCGTATAAGTTCTAAAAGGTGTGAAAGTGACAGTAGCGAGTCCAGTTAGTTTATTCGTTCCAAAAAATATGTACGGCAGTGTGATGGCAGCGAATGTTGAACAAAAGAAAAAACCAAGGCCATTTGGAGTGGGAAGAATTATGCTAGAAGGACGTGGGTCGGTGAAAAGGACAGCACAACGTTCGGTGCGAGAACTTTGTTTTGAGCTAAGGCCCTGACGATCGGATGGCATTATCCTCTGATCAGTGATCGAGATACAAGTAGCAGTATGGAGTCAACCTGATGTATGAGCGTTCCAACAAATCCCCTCAAAAATGCTCAAATCGAGGATATTCACCCAAATAGGGGATCCGGTGCAACTACAAGTGTGATTGACGTTCGATGAAACACAAACAGCCAGTTGTTTGTGCGCCCACCTGCTTATGGGGAGCGAAGGATTTTGTCCAATTTCGATAGTTTGCTCTGGACTCTGTAAATAATTGCACCCGAAATCCGCCGGACCCATTCTTCTCTGCATTAAAAATTATCAACTCATGTTTGATACCTAATACCCTCTAGTCGCTGATGTTTACGACAAAGTGTACACAATCCGAGTTTGCCTTACCGTTGTTGAACAACAACCGCTTCGGAAACCCATTGATAGGAAGTTACGCCACGTTTCTGTCAGTAAAAGCACACTCGTACAAACAAGGTTGCAAGTTTGTCAAAACGATTAAACGTAATCCTACGACTATACCAGTACGGTATCCTTCGTTGGAACCGAACGTACCACGAATAGGGGAGGGAACACTTCATGAGATACAAGCCTACACCTCAGCATTGGCGGTGACGTGCGTCGTAATTCAATACCTACCTGAAGGTAGCTGTTTCCAGCAGGATCTCTCATTTCAAAGGTAACGCCCAAATGTTCCCCGTTCGCAATCTGAAAACCAGTATCAGTGGTGAATGGACGGCAATAAGGTATGGAGAAATTGAAGGTAGTTGAACGTCCGATAGTCATCTGTGTGACTGACCTTTTTTAGCCCATCGATTATTATACTCAGTTTGCCACCCTTTTCATCCACTGAAGCACTATCGCCGAGAACAAAAGGGTTAGCGCCGATAAGCTGTTTTGGATGGAAAAAAGGGACAGAACACAAGTAATTAGGTTCCACCTGATGATCAAATAAAAGTAAATCCTTCGGTGCCTATTACGTTGTTTATGTGAACGAGTCCAATCTCATACGCACCGTATGCCTTAGATATACCTTGCTAACGAGCGGTCATCACCCCAGTACGTACAGCAATTTTCCACAACGGGGAGACCCCTTTGAAGTATAAATTATGCACCATCCATCTATTGAGGATGGACTGAAATCATGTAAAACGACGTTACGGTGAGGCTAATCTGAAGCGAATAATGACGGGATCGGTCTACATGTTTCGTTCCAGCTGACTGTCCTGAAGACAAAAGAGGCTAATAAGATTTGTGCTCACTTCTGAGTTCTGCAGAACACCCTCTGCTGGTCTCTATTGGAGAGATTGTGAAATAGGTCATGGCTGACAGGGAATGCTGCTGAGGAATCAGTGGAGACAAAATCCGTTGAAACGAGTTCTGCAGTTAGGACAAGTTGCAGCATGTTGGAATATCGATATCCCGGGTACGTTTATTGGTGGTTGGTCAGGTCGCTACTGAGTTGTTCACAGAGCTTCGCAACTGAGTAGCAAACGTTTCGTCACAATTCGACAGGATGCCTGTGCTGATGCCTCCACTGGTCAACTACCAATGTACAGACTCAAACTTGAAGGTAGGTGGGTCCAAAACCAATACATTAGATGCGGCACTTCAGCCTAGGCTCAAAGCTTGGAACTTTTGCTTAGCCTTTACAATAGGTATCAAAATGGTCAGCAATAACGCCTATACCTTCAGACACTCGGGCGATCTGGATAGAAACTGACGAAGAGACTGGACCTTACCGTGATGTGACGATTTGCGTACCTCAGCGATCCATTGAGCTATGCTGGGGAGTGTCCCGCGACACTCATAGAGTCTCTCATAACAGGTTGGTCAATACTTAGAAGTCTGACGAACACAGTCTCTTGGCCCTCCAGGTTGGGGGTTGGAACATGTGGCGACTTGTTCCGTAGAAATGGTAATGTATCTGCATTTCCTGCCAAACACCGCTGTCTTGCGGTTAGGCTTTTGAGCCAAAGGCTTTGGTTGAGGACCCTAATCGTCCTCCTGTCTAGGTGTGGGCGCCCTGGAAGTATCCCAGCCCTTGTACAACCATGAACTGTACACACACAAATAAACTCATGCCACATCGGTCGTCGCGTGGTGCCATCAGCCGGGTCGCCTTGCTTGCTGCATACAGCAGAGCGGGTAAGCGAAAACAGGCTACTGCTGACGCCTCCCTTCTTTCTTCTTCACATACTTTTTCTTCCCCCCCTCCCCACCCCATTAATAACTCTCTCCTTGTAGACTCAGTACTTAAGACTAATGACTAGGTTCGTCATGCATCGGTTTTGCGTGCAGTATCTGCTCGTCACATGGCGCCAACATCTTCAGGAATCTTCAAGTCAGTCCTCAATAACGCTAATACCTAATAGGGAATCAGTAACATTCTCTTATGAGGCAACAGCGACCATATGGACGACAAAAAGAACAATGGGACATGGAAATAGACATAGGAAGCGGTAAAGAGTATGGCCATTGGCTTATACGGCAAGCCTCTCCGAAGCTACGCACCCGTTTATCATGAATCCATTTGGAGGGATTACCAGAAATTGTGGGAGCGGTTTAGAGATTAGAGTCATGCTTCAGAGAACGGAAAAACGAACATCGGATGTTGGACATTTCAGTCAACGGCAAACCCAAAACTTTTCTTTGTCTTTCACATTACCGACGCTAATGTCGCAAATCACCCCATACAACAAAACAATGTGCAGATATTTCACCGGTGTGGGAAACAGCCAGCACCGTATCGAAGACATAAAACCCTGAGAGTAGCTGACTGTCCTGTTGGCTCAGTCACTTCGGCCATCAGTATTGCGTTTGGCTTGCATCTGTAAAAGATTTTTCTTGCCATTAGTGGGTCAATGGTAGAGAAGATAAATTTCTTGAACAGTCCTACAGTAAGGAACAGTGTATTGATCTCGTAGAAGAGACGGGTAAAGAGCTCTCTCAAGGAGGAAGCAGCTGACGGGGGACGCTACTTTGGACTCTACACGAGATTAACGTTATTCAGAATAAATTTCTGGCTGATACCCACAGCGTCTGCTGAAGAAAACCCACTAAAGGTTAACAAGTAAAACGATGGAACTACACGTCTGAAAAAAGCTTCCGTAGGCTCTGAAGAGAAAAACAGACCTGGTCCCTGATTGCCAACAACAGTCCTTCCAGTGTAGTGAAACGGCCACCAAGCGTTCCACCCATTGACTCTAGATCCAATTCAGGTATCCGCACACCGGCTGTCTCTGAGACCAACACATCCCGAGACAGATCACTAGGATGTGTCAGTCGGAGTCGATAGCGACGCCCCAATGCTGAAATACCACCGCCAGACTTGACTTCACTGTCCTTCCGTCCGCATGCTGGACACACAGTAGCCATGAGTACAATTTGTTTGAAATGTGGGATATCTATGGTGAAAGGCAGAAACGTATCGCGGGTTATCAGAGAATCAATAACGAAGTGATAGATGCAGACAGATGTAACACAGAACGATCGGAGGAATCTGTGCTGATTTATTAGTATGTTCATCTACAAACTTGTCTTGAGGGTGATAAGAATGCGCCAAAGGGAGGCCTGAAGTACAATGCCTCATGGGACATTAATTAGGTAGAGTCAGTACACCTGGCGATTAATCAATATCCAGTAATGCGTAGGACAGGCGCAACAAACCTGAAGCTCCGGTAGCATAGCTAAGTGTACTGCTCATCACTCACTTTTTGGAAGAGAAAAGAGGAATCGCCTCGCACTGGCGCCTCCCACAAACTTACTGGGACCCTTAGCTATACTCCATCTCCAAAGTTTACAAGTGTTACGGTGGGGCCATTTCATTGTGTTGTGTGAACGCTCGAGGCGGAAATCTCGACCATAAGGTCCACTCTCAACACTCCGACAAGGCAGAGTATTTTAGCTCCCATGCTTCCAGTAGACGACTGCACCTATACGCTGAACGGATGCAGCATATGAGTGAATAGGTTTGATCTGTTGCCGATGACAGGTTAACTGGAGGTTTTCAGAGCTAAACTAAATTTTCGGGTGGGCATAGTGAATCAATCAATGACGGAATTAAGAAGTACGTCGGGGTTGTAAAACAAATATGACAACCCTATCAGGAAGAAAGAAAGAAATCTCTCAGCTATAGCACCCTTTCGGTGCCTAGCTGCCACGCAACCCGAAGGAAACATGAGGGCTTGGATACTGCCAGGTTGCCCAAGCCTATACAGGGGAAGTCGAGAGGCACCAGGGAAAAGGAAATTAAGGTCCTCCTGAAGAGGGAGCCTATTGGAGAGGCCCTAAACTAGAATATGGCTCACGGAGGGTTATTATGACCTTTCGAAGGAATGAGCTTCGCCTTGATGTGATCTCTCTCTACCATAAAGCTTACATCTTCAGGCATTAAGCAACAGCTGTGAAGTTTTTTTTGAACAAACAGTGAATTTCTACAGCTACAAACCGGGAACCTTAAGCGCCTATAGCAAACTAATTTTTCACGCTAGACAGACTTTGTGAGATATCAAAAACTAACGCTCAAACGCGTACCAACCAACTTCATGTTCGTGTCCGATGGTGCATTACAGTCGGGACAATTGGTTTTGAACGTTACCACTTCATCCACACCCAAACGACCGTTGACTGACTCCACTGGGTTTGAACCCGTTGCCTGTGTAGAGCAACATAATAACAAACCAAGTAACGAAGAAACAACAAAATAACGTAGCGTAAAAAGCATGACAAAAATAACGGAACGTACAGCACATCAGAAAACCATTTCCATCAATCATCATCATCATCAATAACAACAGCATGACATCAGCACTGATGCTCCACTGGTGTACAAACGATTTATGTAAAAGCTTTATTGTGAAGAAAAGAATAAGGGTGGATAGTGAAGGGACTTGGTGCTAGCCTACCACAATCATTTCGAGTTACCTACACTTCCAAACACTCATTCAAGCAATCTGGATAGAAAATGACAACAAGAACACCGTTGACATCGATTGGCAGCCACATCTTGAGGCGTGTCCGACCGGTCGCAGTGGGGATCAGGTGGACCCCATTCTAGAAAGCGTGTCGCACCAACGTCACCCAGACTTTTCGTAACCTCTTTCACACCCCTCTGCTACGTCAAGGGTTGGCCACCTTTCTACTTCCGCCACTCTGAATTGGGCATGGAAAACAAACTCTCTTTGGCAAACGATGACTCGGTATGCGCGACATGACCTAACCAACGCAGCTTCTACTATTGGACACATTCTTTAATGGAAGTCCTCGTCGCACAACCAGAACCTAGCTTTCTAACTGCCTCATCACGGATTTGCCGACACTAAACCACACGAGCTATGGTTCTGAGACAACGATTGTCAAACACTTGAAGACGTTTCAGTTCCGCTGCTCCAACAGGCCAATTTCTACAGCCATACAACAAAACAGCTCGCACCGTAGCCTGATACACACATCCCTTGATGTCACCAATAAACAAATTTAGACATACCTGGGCGTCATCCTGAGGTTTCGCATCATCGTCGGTATCATCCGAGCGAAATCCCATGGCGGTATCTTGCTCCTTTGTACGTGTGTACGAGCATATTTCCAACTGAGGGTCACTTTCAGGGGCTAGGAAATTCTCGATACAACCATTCCCTGAGGGATCATCCAAAACCTAAAGGGGTTGAGATTGAATGAGAGAAATGTCAAGTGCCTTCACTACATCGTCAAAGCACCCCTTCTACAATGAACAACCACGCACATTCTCGCTGTTCCGAAGATACCATGAAAGATTTAGGCCTTCATATATGGCTCCCAACACAGGTTGGGTGATTCACTTGTTCATTTTAGGGGTCAACTACTGAGAACTGTGCGGTTACTGCACAAGGATTCGCGGATTCAGCTGGCTCTGGTCTTAGAGTGACAAAGACGGTCGCTTGTTGGAACAACTGCTTAACTTGCACAGTAACAAAACAGCAGGGCAGTTTGTAAGAATGACATTAATATATGTTTTATATCCACCACAATAAGAGTCACGCAGGTGGCGACCGAACAAACGAACACAGGGCATCGATCACTGTATCTTTTAATATTCTCGAAGTTGAGACGTTTCCAGAACTCTGCTGATTACTGTTTAGGGGGAACACCCAAATGCATACGGACCTAAGGCAGTCAGTTTGTCGTGTGTAGCAGCTGGAACCACTGTACTCATGGTACAAGGTTTATAGCTGAAAATTTGAACTAAATCCACCCCAATGTGTTTCCTTGTGCGGGGGAGATTCGCACTAAAAGGAATTGTTCCTTGATTTTGAATTATTAGAAAAACCCTGTTATAGACCCTAACTAGACTGTTCACTTCACGATCTCGTCGTTTTTGAACTTCTCGCTTTTTTCACTTGTACAGAAGACTGATGCACCAAATTAAATCGGGTGTGAGCATCTGTACGTAGCAAGGTTAGCTTCTGCAATTGCACAGTTCTGATCGTGTCGTCCGTCCAATCTTTACTACTGACTTCTGATCTTTATCCGCAACGTACAACAAACGACACTTCACTGTTACGGTAGTGATCATCATCAGCAGCTATAAAAGCTTCGTAGATGCTGTACGGTGGTCATAGCTGCCACAGTTTCGTTCGCTGATAATCTAGAAAGATAGGGATGGACATGTACGCATTGGACGCCGTAGCTCACACAATCGATGCGTCACCGGGAGGCGGGAGGGGAAACAGTCCAGTTGCGTGTGAACCATTTAGCGCGCGACTGGGCTGATAATGTCTGATAATGTCTCTACCCATTGATGTGTTCCGTCTCGGAGTCCACATCCAGGGAAACTGTAATCACCAATGAAGTTCAGTTTGCTGGTAGTGGCTTCCCTATTTCAATGTCAAGTCACTGTTTGATCTCGCCTGGTTCGTTAGCACTCCTCGCGGAGTTGTGCAAAAAGGGACACCGAGCACGTGACCGCGCCAGCACAACCAGTGTGGCCAGTTCCTCTATCCTGGGTGAGTTATTTCTTATGAAAACCATTCAACGTACTTCATCATCGCCGGTCAAATGTTCCCACCAGACTCCCGCAATGCTCCGAAAGATACCCAATGGCCAAACAGTATGTTTTTGGCATCCTTAGCAAACAATGGCCATGTTTCTGGCCCATGCAACAATACGGGATGCATCGGAGTATTGTAAACTTGAGCCTTCAGGGATAAGCTGACGCCACGTCTGCGCCACAGGTGATTCAGGTTGACAAAATCTGCTCTGGCCCTCCCAATATCGTCCTTGGCTAGACCACTGTGACTGATACGGCTGCTCAGGTATACGAATTTGTCTAACTCAATCGCCTACATAATAAGAGCATCTTTGACGCCACAGCTATCAGGCTGATTGTGTGGTGTTCGCGTACCCTTCATAAGGAGAGGAATGACCGTCGATGTGCACCATTCTGCAGACACTTTCTCTTCTCCATATACAACTAATAAATTTTGTCAGGCGGGTAACCAGGGATTCTGCAACTTCTTTGAAGAGGGCATGAACTGAACCGCATCATTCTAGTGCCTTCTCAAATTTCAGCAGAGATATTTCATACCTTATTTCTGGGGGGGGGGGTTAAGGCTTACATCGAATTCGCACCGTCTCCAGGCCGGTGTTGCAGATAACAAGCTAAACTTTCTTCGTAGTAGTCGGTACAGTCTCCCGATAGGTGTTTTGGTGAGTGAATTACTGGGCCTTTTTCTACACATCGTTTCAGTAATCCCTGGTTTTCGGCAAGTGATGTAGGACACGGCTGTCCCCGGTGGCCTTCATTGTCCTCCAAAGTTCTCGGTCTTTAGTTACACTATCCATTGTTTGATGCTCGGGCGATTTGCGTGAGCCATTGCACTAGCAAGGTAACGCTGTGCGTATAGCACCATGTGATTTTTCCCTTTTGTCTACTGTTTGGTGCTTACTATCAATTGTTCGGCTCACAAGGCAGGCACAGTGATTGCTCCCAACGAAGTTAACCTGCTAACTGCACTTCATCATTTAAGACCATGCGGCAATGTCGAACAAGCACACAGGATGTTAAGCGTCCATTTTAGTATGGATTTCGATCAATATATGACCAGTAATTGGTCAGGGATGCCAGATGCGTATTGGTCTTTCCAAAATAAAACGAAAGATGTCGTTTGGCCTAAATGTTATATGCCACGCCTGCGTAGCTTCACCGCGAAGCTCAGTGTGCAGAGCGCTCTTTGATTAAGTGTCATTCACCTTGCCAAGACTGGTTTAACCTAAACCAGTGAGGTCAAGCGCATTCACCAACTACTTCAACCTTATCAAGAACAAGAATTCGGTCAAGAATTCAGCCGAGTCTATCGTCAACACCAATCTAATTTGTAGATGAATGTAGTTCACCAATAAGCTAGTCCTATTCCAACAAAACTCTCAAACAGTACAGAATGCTAACAAATTAAAACGTACAAAAGTGAATGGCCGCTCGACCAAAAACAAGCCACGTAACTGCCCGACAAATGCATCCAATTTATCCGCTATTTCCGGTTCAGCTTTCTGTAGAAAATGGAGTCAGCCGAAGATGTCCTTACTTTCCGTTCAGGCTGCCAACGCTCGATATTTTCGGCTATCTTTGACAAGACACCTTCGATTGTGGATAGGTCTGCAAACGAAGAAAAAGTGGACAAAGGCTAGTTTTTCTAGCGCCCGAACCCTTAAGTTCAGCTAACATTCACTAATTCGTGTCGTGCTAATTAAAGGCGCTTTCATAGTATGTCAACGTGTGGTGTCCAAGTAGATACCCTGGAACTATCCGCTGAAAACATATGGACCATGGCACCACATTCCTCTCTTAGTAGGCCTTGGTCACTTCAGTGAAAAATACCCTCTTCTCGACGAAGAATAGAGACCATATCATTAGCCTGCTCCCCCGACCTTCAGACAATCACATTACCATGAAGGAGAGGGCATTCAAGAACTGTTCTAGAGTGATGTTGGGATAGAGTGATCAGTAGACTGGAATGTACACAATTCCATGGCGGTGCTGAAGTTGTGGTCCATAAAAAGAGAAATAACACGGAGGGATTGGTTGATTTTCTATGGAGGTTGATGGTTGTGGAAGAGGAGAGGTTCTGATAAACTTCTCCGGTTAGAGATAAATGAGTTTCTCAGTGGGTTTATCGGTGAAAAGCCAGTATCGGTGATGCCTAACAGTGATACCATGGATGTTGACCAACTCAAAATGAGGCGACTAGTCAAATGAACCTGGCGAAAATCCATTTGCATACTTGCGTGTCCCGATACCCGTAATGAAGACACTTTATTTGAACTGGTCGTTGTGGTTTAACTCCAGTTTCTTCAGACCTAGAGAAAACAAGAATTGATTAACAGCTAGTAAGCAAGACGCCTTATAGAAGTTGCTAAGCGAAATGCCCATAGACAACTGTCAAAAGACCAACCATACTACAACCTCGGTATTTTTGGGATTGGCTAACGGCGATACTTGGCGGTTTGGTTGTTTCCAAGATCCTCCGAACTGTCTCGTCACTGTGGAGGAGGAACGTCACGGGTATATTCATAATGCACTATTCATAAGGTTGCTGAAAATTCTTTGACAGCCCACGACCGGTTTCGCCCTTCTTGGGGCTCATCAGGTAAGCGCAGTACCCGAGTTTCCACCAACCTTATGTTCGTGAAGGTTTTTCAGTTAGATGGATGGAAACTCGGAAGTACACAGGTCATTTTAAGACTGGCAGAACACATAACGGTCTGAGACCGTACTGAAAGCTCTCAACTTATGTAACCGCCCGAATGGTCAACAAAGATTTCACCAGTCGCCAAAGGAAGAATACCGCCAAGTTGGACATAACTTAAAAAACATGAACACTGTAAACATGTACGAATGCACGGCTGGAAACCGATCTCCATGAATCTGATGGCTCGTATGATGTGGATGAAGATGGAGAGCAAAATGACGAAAAACTAACCTCCCTCAGAAGTTGGAAATGACGCATCTAACTCGGGGATTGAAACAGTCGAGCCGGAAGGTCGTACAACTCGGCGGTTTAAGTCAGCAGTAGTCCGTACCTTTAGTGTGATCAGCTGTCCCTTGTCTTGAATACGGCTAGCTGGGTCAATCGTCCGATTTTCAAAACCACAATGGGGACATGAAAATGAGGATATCACCACTTCACGGAAGTATGCTATGCGGGTAAGCAACAGCCGGGTAGTGCCCTGGAAGATCGTAGAGAGTGGTGTAAAATAGGATGGAGTCAAAGTCAGTATGTGAGTAAGGAGCTAAACTGACAAGCACTCCTGGGTGAACGGACAACATCAACAATGAGCTAGTGTTACAAACCAAAACATACCACTGAAGCAAACTGCACATCAAAGACCACAGACAGAAATTCAAGTTTAGGTGGGAAGACCCACCGACAAAATGACGCGCACTGAACATCGAAACTGTGGCGGAATTTGTTATCCCGGTTACTTCTGGCCGCATGAAATCTCAGTAACAAAAGTCGCGATATTTCAAGAAACTTCAAGTTATTCGACAGATAACTTCACGTTCTTCAAGAAGATGCTGAAGAAAACCCGGATCATATCAGATCTTGGTAATATTGATCAGGCACAGGCTATATACTAAATAGATAAAACACAAGTTAACGTTTGTCGCAAAACCCAAATAACTCTATTTGTAGCCATCGAAAAACTTCCAGTCTTACAAGTTATGCTAGTTTATCAAAGCAACCCATGCGAAACTTCAAAATTAAAACTCTTGGGGACACCAATTTTAAGCAGGATCCGTACGCCTGGCTAGAGACTTGGTATGTGGTGTTTCGGAGCAACTCTCAAAAAAACAAACATCGGATTTCAGGATAGTTACTGTGACCCATTGATGCGTTGAGAGTGATGTCTAACTGGTGTGTCATTGGGATTTGTGAAAAAAAGTCACAAGGCGAAGGACAGTACCGAACAAAACTGTTACCTGTGGAGACGCTATTGCTCAAGTTTTTGGGTTCCACTAAAGTCCTCACAGTTTAGAGAGAATAAGATGGAAGATTTTAGTCACGAACCCGTTTCTCAATCTCTGTAGTGACTTGAGTGCATAGTGTGGGAAAATATACTGGTAATGCCAGCTGATCACTAGTTAGAGGTACTCACATTTTCGTGACAGTTGAGACAAAGGCTTTCCAACTCTGTTATTTCAGGCTGGTCGTCTGCTTTCAAATCTTGGATCGGAGTAGCAAGCATGAGGGAGTGCCGTACTTCTCTGAACTGATCGTCAGGTTACCGAAATCCCACTAGGCTGAAAAAAAGTAACAATTGTTGGATGAATGTTTCCTAGAAGTCGTGATAAAATCATTTGTGGGTTGCGATTAGTCAGAATGTTTTACAAAAATAAGATTGGAGTACAGATTGGAAATCCTATCAACAACGTAACCGAACATTCAAACCAAGTGAAGTGAACTTCCTGTCCATTCCGCTCCGTTTCGTTTAAGGTAGCTCGGGATAGCTCCGTCGTTAAAGCACACACTTACTGACCAGGAGGTCCGTGGTTCCAAATAAAACCCCGGCATTTCGACTGTTCCAGTCTTGGCTTGAGTGACTTGGCAGTATTTCAGCCCTCGTGCTCATCGGTACCCGTTTGCTGATTCCCACTGGGTTGCACTTTTGTTTGTATGTATTTCAGTCGTGTCGACAAAGCTCGCAATGTCCTGCCCGCAGTCAGTCGGGTAGTTTCCGTCCGTTCGCAGGTCCCCGTGTTGATTTCTGACGCAGAAGAATCGAACTTAGGAACTAGGTCGCGTTACTACGTATGTTGGAGGTAATAACAAATGTACACGACCTAAAGCGATAGCAGCTCAGATGAACAGGATTCACAATCAGCAACTGTGCATAAAAACAATAACTTATGTTGGTCAGACATCACGAATAGCTAGACATGTTCTCCATGAGGTTCAGACGAAAGCATGAATTAACCGTGATATATGCGTATTCATCACCATGGGATCCGCGCGATCTCCATTTTGCCTGGTTAGAGAATCTGTAATATACGACTTCTATTCAATGTTAATGGTGTTCTTATTGTCAGTTTCTACCCAGATTACCTGAGTGGGTGTTTGGATGTGTAAGAACCTCGGAATGATTGCGGTAAGCTAGCAACAAATCTTTACCCATCAGCTTCCATACTTTTCATCACAATAAAGTTTTAAATAAGGATGTGTAAGAACCTCGGAATGATTGCGGTAAGCTAGCAACAAACCTTTACCCATCAGCTTCCATACTTTTCATCACAATAAAGCTTTTAAATAAATCATGGTTGTACAGCAGCGAAACATCAGTGTTGAATGCTGACGTCGCGCTATCGATCACGACCATCACCATTTTCTGATTTACTGTCAATGGTAATGGTGATGATGCTTCTCACTGAGTGCAGATATAGTTCTGAGGCATCGATGTTAAAAATTGCTAATACAACTTGGTAGTTGTATTAGGTCTGATGGAAGTGTTTAAGTTCAGGCACGAACCTCAGAGGCCGGAATCACGTTTGATAATTTGCGTCAGTTTTGGCGCAGAAATGCTTACCACTGATTCTGAAGTCTTGCGTGTATCAAGCTACGGGAAGGTTTGTGTTGTTGTCCGGTTGCAAGAAACAGTCTTCGTCGACAGACGATGAGAGGCAACTCCCGATTTTTGACCACCGGTGTCTCATAAGTACTGCTGGTTTCGGATGACGTCAACGGATTCGTGACAGGGCGATTCGAAAACGGGGTTTTCAGTTATGCAGCAGGTGCTACAGTCACAATAATAGAAAATCGAATGCTTGGTGGTCTGATTGATGTCAGCTTAGACTGTCTAGTAAAGCGAAGGGATACCTACAGTACATTCTGTTGTGTTCTGAAGTCCTCTGGTGTCATAAGTGGCGGACATTTCACTCCGGGATGTTCTGTGGCTTAGTGGTTAGCGCACGGATTTACTGACCAGAAGGTCCTTGGTTCGAACCCGCCCTCTGCCTCGTGACTTCCTCTGTCTAGGCTTGGGTAACTTGACAGTATCCCAGCCCTCGCTCTTCCTTCGGGCCACATGGTAGGTAGCCAAAGAAATGGAAGAGGCCCAGAAAGCCGGTAATGCCCGGAGATTATTTCAGTTGATCCGTGCGACCGGTCCCCGGAAACCACCTGTGAGCGAAACCATCAAACACCAGAATGGAACGACCATCTCAAACAAAGAACGCCTCGACCGGTGGGCTGAATACTTCGAACAACTGTCGTGGCCAACAACCGGCACTCATCTAGAGCCCACAGGTGAAGTAGAACCCTGATCGGTGAACGTGGAACCACCTACGGCCTCGGAGGTTTACGACTGCATATGTTCTCTCAAGCGCCACCGAGCTCCCGGTCCGGATGACCTTCCACCCGCACTGTTCAAAACCGGGGGTGAAGTCCTCAGTCAGCGCCTGTCCGATCTGTTTGCTTGCATTTGGGAAGAGGAGTCTGTCCCAGACAAGTGGGGAGAATCGGTGATAGTGACCGTTTTCAAAAAAGGGACGCGTAGTGAGTGTGGTAACCACAGGGGGGTCAGCTTGACCCCGGTTGCAACGAGACTGTTGGCGTCAATTGTGCTTCGTCGCCTTACGGTGGCCCGCGAGATGCTGACTCGAGAGCAGCAAGTAGGATTCCGGTCTGGTAGGGGTTGCGTTGTCCAAATCGTCAAACCGCGTCAGGTGCTAGAACAACGCCATAAGTATAAACGACCCACGATTCTAGTATTCCTGGATTTCCGAGGCGCATTCGACTCGGTTGATCGGTCTTCTTCTTGAGACGCTTGCCCACCAAGGAATGCCCCGGAAGTTTGTAAACATAATACGTTCTTTGTATTCTCAGAGTTCCGGACGTGTGGGAGTGTACGGAGAGCTCCCCAAAAGCTTCCGTACACAAAGCGGTGTCCGTCAGGGATGCCCACTCTCTCCATTCCTTTTTAACTTCGTGATCGATGAAATAATGAAACGAACGCTGGAGGGTCTCCAAAACCCTGGTGTTCAAATAGCCTGT